TGGTGGTACAATAAGCCGCAGGCTGCAGTGCTGCCAGACTACAGACGGATTAGGGTGTAGCACGGAAGGTCTAAAGGGTGTAAAACTAAAAAAAAAGCATGAACAAACTACATACAAGTGTAACACATGACATAAATTTTATGGAAAAAACAAGAATTACTTAGGAGGAGATATATTTGAAAATATTAGTTTGGCACTCCTTACTTTTGAATCCTTCTAACAGCTCATCCTCTAGAGCTGCCTATTTAAGGTCCATAAGAAAGTTGCTTTTAAAGACCTGAAGCATACTAAAATTTAAACAAATTCTGACAGTACTCAAAATCATTGTAAACGTGTGGGATCCTTTATCTGTGTGCACATTTGCAACAAACAAATTTGCTGCAAATATGGAGTATTTACAAATGCTAGAATTATCAGTTTTATAATTTCCAATATTCTTCGAATTCTCCATATTGTGAAAAAAGTGAATACTAGTAAACAATTTTTATTCACTTTTTTCTTGAAACTTCTAACTTATTTAATTGTTTTTGCTAATACAATTGACAAAAAATATTGAAAAACTGCATTATCGATACAAAAAATGACAATCCTTTCAGTAACTGCGCCTTACCAGGATTATTTATTTGGCTATCCCAATGGAATATTAATTAGCGAACTTCCTAACCTTGGACAAAAAGAAAAACTCCATTTTCCATGGGTATTATTATCTTAGGAAACCCGGAAAATTAATGATCCAAGTTTGGACACCCTAATAACATATACTGTCGCCCGACCATAATCCACTAATAGAACTAATCTTATATTCCAAAGAGATTACTTCCTTTATTGGCAATCGGGAGACTATCACCTGAATCCCTAAACATTTGAAAATAATTAGTTACCCGGTAAAGTACGCCTTCCGAACTTTCAATACCAATAGAATGGCTATCAATTAGCTTTTTCAAATCAATAGTTAGGTAGGTTGGTAAAATATAGTTGTTATTTAAATAAAATACGGTTTCAGCTTAAGAGGAATGAACGTGTTACACTGTGTAAGAGAAAATTGTTTTGCGGTTTAATCTGTAAGGATAAAATTTATTTTAATGTGCCGATATATTAAATGATGAAAACAAAATTAAAAAAATCTCTTGTTCAACTTGTACTTTTGTATTTTTGGTTATTATAATTATTACAATAATGGCAGAGGACGGTATCCTATCTGTATCTATAATTTGTTATGGGTGGGTTAACCCACGGCACTTAGACTTTACTAGGCCCATTGTGCATCCTTCTAAGTAGATAGGCACCCCCTAGCTCGTGAGTCAGCTAACAGATTTAATGTAGTTGACAACGTCGCCAAGAGGTGCTTCTCTTATATCGGCCAGAGTTAGCCAATTCTCACCGAATACAAATCTTTTATTAAATGAAAGCGTTGGGCAATCATTGGACAATTTTTAAAGGTAGCTACATGGATAGCTTTTGGACCTGTTGTATCTTTAATTCCATATTAAATATAAGTGTTCCGCTTTATAGACTGTGTATGGAGGTAGGAGGAATACATCTTTATTTAATTTCGGTAAACATAAATGAACTGGCTTGCTTTTGAGCTATCTAAAATCCGATGGGCATGCTTGAATCCTCTTCTGACAATGGTTTTGTTTTTCCCGGATCTTTTACATTATTAGACTCGCATTTCCACGTATTTTACAATTGCTAGGAGTTCTCTTCTCTTGACGCAGTAATTTCACACAGGTTTTGAGAGCACTTTACTAAAATAACGTAGTACTTTTTTTTCTCCGAGTCTGAAAAAGCACTCCACCAACTCTCACACTATTGACATCATTATTTAGAATAAATTTTCCCTCTGGTAGTGGGTAGCCTAGTATTGGCATTGGCGCTATTGTTAAATGCTTCTTTAATGTTTCAATGACAGTTTAGCAGTCTTCCTCCTATCAGAGTTTTCTCGCTTTTTCTGTGAGTCGTGTTATTGACTGTCCTGGTAATGGCTTAACAATATTCGTGAACTTCCTTATAAATCTTCGGTAGTATGTACAAAGCCCAAGAAAACTTCTTATTTAATATTTATCAGTTGGTTGTGGACATTGCTTGATGGAAGCGATTTTCTCCTTATCTACAGCTACGCCATCCAGGTAATTAACTTTATTTTGACTTCACTGACATTTCCTGGGGTTAAGCATCAGTTAAGCAGTTTAAAGTATGTTTATAACATCTTCTAAATTCTTAAAATGTTCGTCATATGTCTTCCCCAAAACTTTAATGCCGTCTAAATTTACCAGGCATGTATTCTAAGATAACCCGATCAATACATTTTCCATAAGTTTTTTAAGTATCGCGAAGGCATTATATAGTCCAAAGGGCATACTTTTTAATTGCCATAATTCAACTACTATAGTAAAAGCTGTCTGATTTATCTACTAGGTCCATTTCCAGCTGACAATAACCAGACTTCAAGTCGAGAGTAAAAAATAGTTTACTTTCGGCGAATGTGTCAACAAGAGAAGTTCTTCTCGTTTTTCTTTCTTTTGGTACAAAAATGTTGCGAAACCATTGAAGAAATTCTTTTATTGCCTTTTTCTCTAATTGATTCAGAGATTGAACAGTAACCACAATCATTTGCTCCAATTTGTTGTTTGAATTATCAGAAGTTACTGGTACACATGTTACGATTCTGATTTCTTTCTTGACGGTAATTAGATGATGAGCAACGTTTACGAAACATACTAAAATTTCTTTGGCAGTCGTCAGCAACCCATTTTCGATCAAAAATCCACGTCCAACCTTTTCATCGTGATTCCAAAGTTCTTTTTTCCATAGTTTCTTAAAGTCGTGCTATTATAATGATTTTCCTTCTGTCCCCATAAAGATGTAGGAATACCTCTTCGTCACGAACTTTGGTTACTGTATTACTGTTCTGTATGTTCAATTTCTTGTCTCTTCTTATCCATTTGTTTCATTTTCTCCTCAATAGAAGATATTATTTTATTTTCGACTGATCATATTTTATTTTCCATTGAAAAAATTTCAAAAAGCACATTTTCTTGTAAAGAAGAAATACTATTTTTTATGGAAGATATATCAGCAGTAATTTCACACCATTTGTTAGAGACAGGCGTGTCCGGCAGTTTCTCGAATTTACTTCCTGTACATTTTCAAAATAATGATTCATACCGGCTATCTGTGACCATAAGTCTCCCTATAATTGGGTAAAGAGGGTTTATCCTATTAGATATTTCTTGTTTTAAGGACAAGTGGGGTCGTAACAAGGCCCAATTAAGGCAGGGGGACCCAAAGGATCAAAGCATGAGTAGATTGGTTAGAAGTGGCTCATATCAAAATATTAAAATAAAATTCAAACGCATTTTAAAGAAAAATCTCCATAGAGATACATAAAGAAAACACTTCATGTTTACTGGGAATACTGATAAGACTATTACAATTTATTAATAACATATCATGTATCCTGTGCCAGGATAAAAAGAAAACGTTAAAATCCTAAAAAGGCAAACTGGTATTATTGAAATTTCCCCGAATTTAAAAACTTATTTCCACTTTTCTTATACGTATGTAAAATTGTTGTGGCGCTATTTTACCCACAAACGGCATGTTTCTGAAATATTTTACAAAACCCCTGATTTCGGCCTTGTATACTCCTATTTCGACCAATTTGACTGTAATGAGATGTTTTGTATTCAGAACTCGCAAGAGAAAAATATGGGAAGCAACGCAACTACTTTTCTCAGGGCTTTCACGTTAAGAATATGCCCTCCATAATGTTGAATTTAAACCAATTTTCTATGCAGTGACTGTGCTGAGAAATGGTGCACCATTTTTTTAACGTAGTTTTGCAATAGTACGCTGTGTTTAATTTATCTCTGAAAGTGTCTCTGGCGGTGGATTTCAACAGCTTTCAAAAGTTAAGCGGTATTTCTCTTGACAAGTAATGTGACCAAATGAAATTTTTAAGCAAAGCTGTGCGCGTGTTTACAATATATTAATCTGGTTATTACAGATTGGGAAAAATATTATTTCAAAATAAGAGTATTGCATTGCATTGCATTAAAGCTACTATTCTAAAAACCAGTTAATCACGTGAAAATACAATAACAAGGGCTACTTATATATTATAATACGCAAAATACTTTTCTTTTCATTCTCATACAAAAATTGCAATCTATTTATCAGTTAGCCTACATAATATTTGTAGTTGACAACCTCGCCAAGAAGTGCTAGCAAAACAGTTCACCGGATATAGTTGACGCAATCAGCATGTAGCTTGGGCCAATATAATTTTTGACTGATGGGACTCATGGTTTTGTAAACCTCTAGGTAGTCACAGTGAGGAGAGATCGTGGTGTTGTGCACGGAATACGAATTCGAATTAGGCTATACCACTCGTAACCGAATCCCATGGAGCATGTCCAATTGTCCGTAGGGTCCTCAAAACCATGCTCAGTGCCTACGGCTCAGATAACCACCGATAATGGGATATATACCTCCCCAAAGTTGCCTGCTCGTTGCGTTCAGCACGCCACGAAGTAACCCAACTTACCTCCAATTTCGTTGCCCTCGGACGTGGAATCATTTTATCAGGCAAACAAGACCTTTCTCTAGACGCGGCATAAAAAGCTCCTGATTTTGAGGCCTGCATCCGTTCAGAAACCTTGCAGAAGGTTTTTCAGCGGTTAGAGGCTACTTACAACAACAGTAAGCAGGCATATAACCTGAGACGTCGCCCAGACAAGTTCTTGTTGAACCAGCGTATGTGGCGTAGAAATTATGCAATTTCGGACGCTGCTAATGAGCAAATTTATTGGCCATTTCACCAAATTCTCAGATGAAAAAGGTAAGGCATGCGATGTATGGCACGCTAAGGACATTAATGCACATCCGCCAGACCAAGAAGCTGAAATGTTCGATGATGTCCTTATAAGAAAATAGTGTAATTTTTTTATCCTTGTTGTTAGCTTTTTTTACTTTAGGTTAAGATTGTTTTTTTTGATATGAGGTGATTTAATGATGTCTTACTATGATTGTTTGTACCTTAAAAGTTTTTTTGACATATGCTAATCTATTTACAGTGTAACATGAATAGTTGGTTAATTTATCTACTTTGATTTATGTGTTTGAGCTCAATTTATAGGGCGTGGGTTAGGTATTTAAATAACTCGAATAACTTTGAAAAAGAAGTTGGGCACCACTATATTTGAAGCTTATACACTTAACTCTAGATTAGTGATAAAAATATAGAAAATCACTAACCACTAATAAATTATACTTAAAACATGCTTTAGAGAAGGGAGTTATCAAATACTAATTCACATAAGTCTGCACAAAATTTAAATTTAAAACAATTTACTCATTAAATGAATTGCACTTATCTGTAGGTACATAAGGTAAGTAAACAGTAAAATCAGGTATTTCTTCCCTCACTCCAAGCTGTAGACGTTACCAACATTACACCCCGGTCAGGAAACTTCCACCAAGGGATTCGGGTCCCCTGTTCACAATTCTCATTTGTGACTGCATAAATGGTATTCGAACTCAAAACTATCTAGAGATGAAACCAAAACCATCTATAGATAGCCATCAGCTAAAAAGGATTAAAATGTAATGATAGGAGACGGGAAATGTAAAAAGGATTTAGATAAAATGCTTTAACTGTAAAATTAATAATTTCTAACTATTAAATAAATAATTTCATAGTGACTAAAATTAATATGAAAAGGAAAAATCTTATTTAATATATTTAAAGCATCATATCGTATTCCAAAAAATAATATATAATTTTATATAAAACTAACACATGTGTCATTGATTGCTGTATAGAGGTTATGTTTAAAATTTGACAATTTGTTCAAGAAATCCTTGCACCAAATATATATATATATATATATATATATATATATATATATATATATATATATATATATATATATATATATATATATATATATATATTTATCGACTACGGTAGCGCAGGTGTCTACGGCGTCGCATTTATTTGCGAGCCAATTTTCTGGTAAAACGAGACACGGTTTCAGATCCTATGGAAGATAATGTGAATTTATTTTCTCTATAGGATTTGATGGATGCCGTATTAGCAGAAATTTAATTTCTGTTGATATGACATCCAGATTATTAAAAATCACCATGCGTTACTGTTTTCGATGATGGTGGGTGGGGTTTTCTGGGTTTCCCTCACCTGTAAGTCAAATGGCACCATCAATCATCTTTAAGTCGCCATGGAGCGCCACAGCAAATAATAATAATAATAATAGTCGTCCCTTTCCCCGGACAAGCTCAGCTTTTGGGGTTAAAATTCACTCGTAAGGGGGTGAATTAGGGAGAGTACTGTTATCATTATAATAACATATTATTAACAAAACATACCTTATAAAATCAGATGGCCATTAAGATACATAAATATCATTTAATATATCGGATGACCGAGATTAAAATAAAATCAAAGTGATTGTCACAAAAATACCCATTTCTAAACACTTTGAACAAAGTAACTCATCAATAAATTATTGCAATTCTTCAAAGACCATTTATAATATGTGGAAATATGTGGAAATATGAAGAAGTCATTGGGCGCGGTAACTCAGACAAATATGATCAAGAAGTTAATAATTTGATATTGTTACTGCTCAAAAAGTGGAAAATAATAACTTACAGTAGGCCATAATCGTCCTTCTATCCTCTAATGCAACAATTGTGATATAACCCATATTTCCAAAGAAAAAAGACATTATTTTTCTCCAAACGCTTATTAAACGTAAGTTTAAGTCCATTTCAAAATAGAGTAGATTGCTTTTTATTTTCTGACTCGTATGAATTTACTGAAGATGTGGTACCTGCTACGATATTATAAACATAATAATTTAAGGAGTATATCTGTACCCCAGAGCTAAACTTTCATAGGTCACACTTTGCAAATTATACAGGAGAGTAAAACAAAGGTACGAAGATGTTGTAACTTTTAAACTACTGGACATATTGACCTAATTTTTTCGATAGAGTAAAAAGCATATTATATGTCTATTTTAAACAACCATTAAGTATTTTACAAGTAATTAATTAGATTGAAGTTAATACCATTTGCCTCTGAAGATAAACTTAATATTTAGTTGATTTAATATTAAATGCTGCTGTCAAGATTGGATTTAATACAACTTGGGTCTATCTAAAATTGTGATTTATTATTATAAAACTGGACATGAGATCATATGGCTTATAGGTATTTTCTTAACTAGTATTTTGTCCAAAATAGTTTCAACACTTTAATGATAAAAAATACAAGAGACCAATGACAGTATTTTTTTATATATTATAATTATATATTATAATATTTTATTTAGGTATGAAAAAGGTAATACAAAACAAATTAGTGAGGAAAAGAAATTACTTAAATATGGTACTGTAAGTAATAAAAAAAGAAAAGTGATACTTATTTATCAAATGTTAGTTTTAATTTTCTTCTTTTACAAATCCTTCTCTTTGTAGAAAGTATAAAACCTTTTAGGGACCCATTTTACCAATTTTTATAGGTCGTTGTATTTTTTCTTGGTTATTGCTCGTAAAGTGGACCAGATTACTTCCAAATTCGGCAAATGATGATGGTTTTTCTTTGACGATTTTCAATTGAAGTCTATTTCCTCAAAGTCTTTATCTAAATCACATTTAGCATTTAAAATGCATACAAATGAATATGGAAATAAGAAAGTTAGTTTCTGTTGTCGTTTTTTGTTTTCAATAAATGGAGAACGAGCCCTGTCACAAACTGCAGCAAAGTCTTTAAAATCTTTAAGTTCTATTGGTTTTACTTTTAAGTGAGATTTGGTGCAGCACAATCTTGCCATTTGTTGCCAGTCCCATGGTGTTATTATGGAAAAGTCTGGACATTTTCTCTTTCTAATCTCCAGTGAACTTCCATGTGTGTGGAGTCTAAGAAGATACTTATGTTCAATAAACTTTAAGGACAGTTTCAAAGAAAGAGCGTAAATATAACATACAATCATTTGCATGTTTCGATTTTGAGAACAGTTATCACTGCAAATGAAAAGTTTTTCTACAGAGTTTTCCAGATTAAGAATATATCTAAGAGTGCCAGATGTCATTTCGTTCCTCCATGCCCCACATAAATCACAACGATTTTTTCAAAGTAGAATCATAAAAGGTATAATTAAGCGACCAAAGTTTCAGGGAATAAAAGCTCTGAGCATTATGCAGTAGGGGTGTGGGCGGACATTTTTGGAGGTCAACCATTATCACTTTTACATTAATCTTGCCTTCTAAGTCTTCCTTGTCATTTTTCTTTTCTATCTTTTCTCTGCTTCTAGTAGGTTACTTTCGTACTCTTTTTGAATGATTTTGCGTTGTTGCATAGAACCTGTATCCTTTAATTTAACAATAAATTCATTGCATAATACTATCATTTCGATATGAATGTTAGTTGGAAACTTGTACATCTAGATCTGTCACTGGTCATGCTAGTTAATAATGACATACAAGCTACCTACTACCCTTTATACAAGCAAAAATACTAATTAACTTCCTAAGCAAATGTGATTTTTACGATAAAAAAAATATGGAAGCATTTCAAATATAAACCGAAGCTACCTTCAAAACAAAAAGAGTAAAAACAAAATTATTTGATTATTATTTCCAAATTGACATTGTTTCATTTAGCGTTGCGGTAATTGGGAGTCAGTCATCTGTCGATTGTGACTTAATGAACTCTGCTTTTATCGACTACAAATTGCATTACCAAATGATTTCAATTTATGGAAACCTATTTTACTGTAAATATTTGATTACCTCTGCCAAAACAACAACTTTGTGAAGAACTCTATAGTACATGAGCCATTAATAAAGCTTGATATGATAACGTATCAATGTTTTATTCGTAAAATAGTTATTTTGTTGCAACTATAATGAAGATTCTATATTTATTTTGCACATACTATGAAACGATGGTCTATATTTAACCCTTTCTTTTTGGTTTCCTTGGCAAAATACGATTTTGACACTAGAGAGTGTAACAAGGAGATCCGTCCTGATTATTAAGTTGGTCCTGTACCTTACTTGTATCTCTTTCTGAAATGTATGCCATAAGACTTCACTTTTGAAGATTTTGTAACACCAATCTGTATCTGTAACGTGTGGAGGGTGGGTTACCCCCACGGCACTTAGGCCTCATTAGGCCAATTGTTTAAAATGCATTGAGTTTAATCCTAAATCCGGTAAAATTGAGGGATATTTACACAATATACCTAAGGGACATTTACCGTTTGAAGTTATTCATATAGATCATTATGGGCCTCCAAACAAATCAAACATTTACAAAATTATTTTACTGCTTATAGTAGGCCAAAAATATTAATTTCAGACAGAGGTTCTTGTTTCAATTCACAAGATTTTGAAAAATTTATGACTGAGCACAATATTAAGCATATTTTGATAGCTACTGGATCGCCAAAAGCAAATGGTCAAATAGAAAGAATGAATAGAATCTTAACTCCTTTATTAGCTAAAATAACAGATGAAAAACAAATTAAATGGGATAAGCTTCTATGTGATGTCGAATTTTGCTTTAGTAACACAGTTAATAGGTCAACAGGTCAAACACCTTCTATGTTATTGTTTGGGAGAAACCAATTAGGTAAAACTCATATTAATGTTAGGGAAATATTAGAAAGCATAGATGAAAAGGGAGAGAGAGATTTAGAGGAGATTAGGAGGGTTGCAGCGAGGCAAATAGAAAAGGAACAAAACAAAAATAAGAAAGCTTATGATTCGTCTCATAAGAAGCCCTCTATTTATAAGGTTGGCGAATATGTAATGATAGCTAATTATGACACAACTCCAGGGGTTAGCAAAAAATTGATACCTAAGTTTAAGGGTCCGTACGAAATCAAAGCAGTCCTACCCTATGACAGATATATAGTAACCGATATAATCGGATTTCAGAATACACAAATACCTTATGATGGTGTTGTCGAAGCGGCTAGAATTAAACCATACAGCCCCGACTAACATGTTATTTTACAAATATTTTTGTTAATATTCATATTAAGTTTAAGTGTTTATGTACTCTTATTTTGAGTTTATGGCTTGTATTAAAACTAATTAATGTATTATGAATATATTTGTGAATTATTGTATCATGAGAAAACAATAGAAATTATGATTGTCTTATGTTTCCAAACCATTATGTAACATAGTATTATGTTTCCAAAACATAATGTAAAATATTATGTTATGTACCCTCATTAAAACCATTATGTTATGTACCCTTATGAAAACCATTATGTTACGTACCCTTATGTAACTTATGAAAACCATTATGTAACCTTTTGTGACTTGTTTATTTTATTATGCAACTTATGAAAAACCCATTATGTAACCTTTAATGACTTGTTTATTTTGATATTATGCCATTTTAAAAACCTCCTATGACTTATGTTTTTTCATGTTATGTTAATTTTGTTTATTTCCTGATCGGGACGATCAGTTTTGTCAGTATGGCCGAACTGTAGGTATATTTGTATTTCGCGCCATGTTAATATCAGTAACCATGTTGGTATTACTGTAAAGGGCGACACTTGACAGTTGTCAGTCCGTCACCTGTGTTTCCGTTTTATAACATTATGATTTATGATCTCGATATGCGAGGTGCTTTAAGGTTATGTTTAAGTTTTGGTTATGTGTAAAATGCCGCTATGTAATTATGATCAGGTTTATTTTGTGGGAATAAACAGCCATCCAGTTGTTTAATTTTATGATCCCCCACAATTCTGTGCTAATTCTAAAACAATTTTAATGAAGATGGTGTTCAATTCATCTGCAACATTCTATCTACGGTTTTATATTTTCCATGACTATTTTCAATTTGTTTACAGCATTTTTCTTCATATATTTATTAAGCATAAATGAATTCAATATTTTTTATTAGTAATTATATACATTTAAAATTATTGTTACTAGTAACATGACCAAAAATAAACACAATTTCAAAACTTCTTACATTCCTCGACTATTTAGATAATTAGACAACACTGCATGGTTGTAACCTCATAAATGATCTATGACGTGCATCGGTATTTGTATTAAAAATGCTATAGTTGCCTTTCAATTTTAATCTTCTCCAATTTAGTTTGTAAAACGCATGCGTACGAGATCCATAAAGTCTGTTTGCTGAAAGATTGTTTTTATTAACGATTAAACAATACTGGCATATGTGTATTCAGCGAATTGGAAATTAAACTCAAAACCGGCAAATAAAAATGAAATTAAGTTACTGAGCACTCCGATTATTAGGGAAATAATTTAATTTTACGTTTGATCCACAATTTATTTTTTTATCGCGTTTACGTTTTATCTGACAGACCAATTTTTAAATACATTCAATTTATTAAAAAAATACGTGAGTTTCAATAATTAATATTTTAGTCGTATAGAATATCTAAACGATTTCATGTTTTTTTTAATCGCATTAACGAATTTATTTATTTGTATTTGAAAGTATCTTTTTTTATTTACGAGTTTGTTAAGGATATAAAGTATTTGATGGTATCGATTTTTTTAATTATATCTGGATATATGGCTGCAATAAACGCACATATTTTAAAAATTACTGGACACTATAGTTTGTAAAAATGGTACGGCTATAGTTTGGTATTTAGAGTACAACATTAATAAAGATATAACGAAGCTCTCTGGCAATTTGCTTAAATTTTTGATTTAATGTTAGTTTACATAATTTTGGTAAAATGTTTTCCTTGCCCTAACTCAATCACGGGGCTAAATTGAGCGCTACAAGGTTAATATTTATGTTTTTTTTGCAGTAGTCAGCAATAGCCGCTGAAATTAACTTTGACCTAATAAAAAATGATGCCGAGTTATTGCTACAAAGAATAATTATATAATTAAAATATGAAAACAAGTAATAATACTGACTGGAGAATCACAAATAGCGCATATACAGGGTGTTTCATAATATATGCGCAGGACTTCAGGACGTGATAGCCCGTCCCAAAATATGAAAGAACGTTCCCATTAACTTACCCTCTAAAATGCACCATTTTCGAGATACAGGGTGTTAAAATTGAAAAAAAAAAATTCTACGCCACTGGAAAAGGTACGGTTTTGAGACGCCCATTTGAACCGCCAATGTTTTCTACACAAAAAAGTTACTTTTGGTCATACGCTCTAAAGTCGACCGTTTTCGAGAAAAATCAAATTTTAATGTTAAAATACATGGGCAATTTTTGGAAATAAAACAACATTTTTAAACGTTAAAACAAGTAACAAAAGCAACCGTTAACTTCATAATTGCAAAATTAAAAAAAAAAGACAATAACAAATCATAAACAGTTAAATGTTCGAAATATCCGCGTTAGATTCAATGCACACAGCAA